TTCGTCACCGTTGGATCGCGTCGGTACGCAGAGTGGTAGAACCTGGTACTGCAAGCAACCACGGACGCGGTGAGCGAAGAAGAGGCACCGATCGTAGAGCCGGCAGGACCCATGGTCGATCACTATCAGTACGATCCGCCGAAGGGCATTCTGAAACGCTCGTTTTATATAGCGTTTTATAACTATTTCCTGAACAGAATGAAGCAGCTCTACACACTCAAAGCAGGAGCGAGAAGCTATATTGAAGACGCCAATTGGCTGAAGCAGGAGTGGTGCTATGTTCAAGGCCACCCTGTTGAACCTTTTTGAGTGGAACGATTCCCTAAGGAAATTGTTAACAAGTGGATTAAGGAGCCAACACAGCCCGATGGAACAGGCTGTGGTCTTTTGGTTTTGGAAATGGTTTACGCGTTCGTGCGCAATGCGCACAGATTCAAGTGCGATTGTATCACTGAAGCGTACATGCGTGTGATGCGATTGGGACTCACGTAGTTATTTCTGTGTAGAACAAAGCGTGTTCAACCGAACGTGGGGAAAACAACACAAATAATGAAGACGGATGAGGCGGTTCGCTAGCTTCTTAAGAAGCAGTGAGCTAATGAGCCACATGTAGCGGTACATGCAGTATTTGTCAATTAAAAACAATAAAAAGAAATTGCACAATTAATCAGCAATATTTCTCAAACAGAGCAGAATATGGATTCATCATGTTACTGCTGCACTACTGCATCACTGTCCTCATGATCCACGTCATAGAATCCGGATTATTTGCCCCAGTAACACCCCGAACGAAAAGTGTATCCACCGCTTCCTGGAGTCTCTCCGATGTTTGCAATGAGCCCGTTAATAGCTTCAGCTTCGCGTAGAAGTATTGCCTCCAGCTCCTCGGAGCGTACTGCAGGTTGTTAATCGCTTCCATCATCATGTCCATTTTGTCTTGAAGCACTTGCAACTCGTTGGCTCTGGAACGCAGTAGCTCCCGCGCCAAGACTTGGTGATCCATGGCGGATGTTGTCCTTGAATCGGTCTTTGTCTTTAGTAGATTCAACGCATATCAAATTTGAGAGCTGGTGAAAATGTCAGTAGCGGCTTAACCTTCGTAAAACTGCCTCTGAGTGTTATTTTGCTGGTAATTTATACTGGCTAATAAGGGTGCTATTTACAATTAAGGGAACATCAATTTGTAGGCTGTCGTGTTGTTGTAAGTTTAGGGTGCTCTAACGCCATTCCTGCAGTCCTTCAGACACTTCATGGTGTTATCCATCAAATGATTTACATTCTTGTGATGCGCCATATCTCATAGATGCCACATAAAACATGTATTCGAATTGCTTATTGTACTCCAATTCAGTCTTCACGTATACGAGAAGGTTCATCACCCCGTAGCTGGTCCTTCTCGCATCATCGAATCCATAGGCACTGGAAGCAATTTATTCCCGCAGATACTTCAGTACATGAAACTGGCACAACAGAAAAGCATCGTGCGCCATAAACGAGAACACCTTGTACTTGGCGCGATTAGCGCCATGTGTCTCGTTAATAAAAAGAACCTCAGCAAACAGGTCAAAGACATTCCGCATCTGGTTAGTTTAAAGAGTTTTGCAGGTTGCAATCGTATATTGCAGAAACATGATGCATGAGATATCAGCAAATTACATATTCATACAAAATAAGGACAAGATGCATGTCAAACCATTTCATCGATATCATCCCGCGAAAAATGCGGCCGACGTTCCTCAGGACGTCACCAAAGTTAGTCTTACATTTGTTCAAACGCATTTCGCTTGTAGATGGCCCTTTCATGCTCTCACTGGCCTTTAGGTTGCAGACAAGGTTTTGGGTGTCCTTAGGCTTGGGGTTGCTGTTCGAGTTATCTTTCATAAGCCTCACTATACTGATCTTCTTGACGCCATCCTTTCGCAACTCATTCACAGTCTCCAGGGGTACCGTGATCGAACGATAGACGTTTTACCAACTGCCGTTCTTACGAGCTCAACATGAGATGACAGATTATTTTTCCCCTTATAAGAGGCTCTGGGGACCTCAACGATGCACCAAAAAATAGCGTTTTACGCCTTTCCCTAGCTCCCCATACAAAGCGACCACTTCCCTGTTTAATAAAACATACATAGGTTTAAGTGACATATCAAATAGAAACTCCAGTACAGCTGCTAATTGATACTCCCAATACCACCTTCAAGTAACGGCCACAATTTAGGTAAGTAGAATTGTTTCACAGGTTTTTGCCCCCCCACCCCCAGTGAGAGATTATAAATTCACACCCTAACCGTTTTCGATAAATGATGCCGACTTTTTTTTGGTAAGAACTTAATCAAAGAGGAAAAATACGTCGAAAAAGGAGCTAAATTAGAGAGCTCATTAATGT